TTGCATTAAAAAGAGGATACTTTAATTAATAATTGGTGATATTTCCACAAGGATCCTTCAAGAAATTAATTTTATAGCGAATTTTGAAAATTATCGATGAAAATTGCAACATCGAAAATTTTATCAAAACTTCAAATATTGTTTTCTCAAAAACTAAAAGTTTTTTTTCAAAACGGGTTGGTTCATTGGAAAGAGGCCACTTTTATTAACACTTTGGGAAATTTTCATACTCATATTCCGAGAACTGGATTTTATACGAATTTTTAAAACTTTTCGGTGAAAATTGCAAAATAGAAAAAAATTGTCTATTATTTCAAAAATGTATTTCTCAATAACTAAGAGTGATTTTTCAAAACGGCTTTTTGCATCTCCTTATTAGTACTGTCACCATAAATTTCAATTACAATTACCCACTTTTTCCAACAACTCCATACAAAGATATGGCGAAAACTCCAATTTCCGAATCAGAAATTGTACAAAAATTCTCTTCAAGCCTGTTATGTTAACAACTATAAAGAATGAGTCAATACAAGCTTAGGTACTTTCAAAATATATAAATCTATTAAAATTAGTGGTGGAACGGATATCCGGTATCTAGCCTATCCGGCAATTTTTTAAAATCCGGTCACAGTATAAACAAGGAGATAGTAAATAAAGAAAAATCTTAGGTAGTCTGGGAGATTAACTAGAAAGGTTTTGATACGAAGTTTTAATAAGAAGAATAAGCAAATTGAAAATAGATTTGTGTTGGTAAATTATGCAATAAAACCAAATGAGACAGGAAACATGGAAAAGTTTGTGTAGAAATAGGATAATAATTACTGAACAAAATTAGTGAAAAATGAAGTAATATAGAGGAAAGAATGTAAGAAATTGATCTGATCAAAAGAATTTTAGAGACTGCTGGCAGAATTACTATCATTCTATTTCGAACGCAAAGAATGTTTATTGGAGACAGGAACTATACCAAGAATGGTAGAAACTCCGTTTCAATCTAATCACTTCAAATAGATTATATTTTGAAGACTTCCACTTAGCTATCATAAGCAATTTAAGCAAATTCAAGGGATTATTCTTCTAAGAATATTTTGACCTTTAATGATTTTTGGAAATCCACTTTGTTTCAAAGATATAGGGCAGAACTCTTTTTGATATTTTTAACGTTACTAATGTTGCCGAAATAAAAGTATCTTTTAATAAGATTCCGCCAACTAAGTCTATTGAAAAGAAATACAGTTTATTTATTATTAATATTTATTAGATTGTTAGTAAAGTCCTTTGTCATGAATCGCTATACGAACGCCGAGATGACCGACATGCATTTTATTTACAGGCTATTCATTCAAAGTATTCATCAACATCTTCTCTCATGGAACAGGCTCACTGAAACGAAGTGGACGATCAGGAAGGCCAATGACAGTCAGAACGGTAGAACTGGAAGAGAATGTGTTGAACATAATACAGGAAGAACCAGGCGTTTCTACTCGAATAATTGCAAATACTTTGAATCTAAGTAATGGAAGTGTTTGGAAAATTCTTAAAAATTATTTGTTGTACTCATACCATTTAAAACGCGTTCAAGCACTTGGCTCGCTAGTTCGAGCCTGACCTTAAAGTCAACAGTCGATTTAATTATCGAGCAAAATGCTAATCTTGTACTCTTTCAGATGGTATCCTTTACGATGCAACTTAGACGTCGGAAAGAATTGTTTCTGTAAAGTCGATGATATAAACTTAATAGCAATACTTTTCTTTCTGCCAATAACTTTATTTTTGCAATCGTCTAAGTCTCTCTATGCTCACCTCAGATTTTACGATGAATTTGTCGCTTTACTCTATATTTGCGAGATCAAATTCTTCCATATGGAGTTAATCAATAAATTGTGTTAGGAAATATCTCTGGTATGACCATTGTAGCATTGAGGATTAAAAAGAAATTATTTAAATGAAGTAAAATTTCTTTATAAATAACGCTGGAAATTCCCGGTAATCCTGTGCAAAGACAAAGCCGCGTTTTAAATAGTACAAATTTTAAAATTTTTTTAATGCCTATAAAAACTGTTATAACCACTAACTTCCAATAGTCACAATGAATACTTCATTTCTTTTAATATTTCTCTTCTTGGCTTCAGTAATTGGTAAGTATATGTAATTAATACTTTCATTTCTTTTAAATCTACATATTTTTAGCCACCCCTCTGAAGCGTACTGCTCATCATCAACACCGTATACTAAACGGCCACGATATCGACATTTCAGATGCAAAGTTTTATGTTTTCTTCACGTGTAGTGGCGTAGTTTGCGGAGGGACCATCCTTAGTTTAACAAGAGTCGTGACAGCAGCTCATTGTACTTTAGAATGCGATCCGAAGAACATTCAAATGTACATGGGAAAGAATTCTTGGGACGAAGAAGGCGAACGATATCTAGCAGACAATTTATTCAGACATCCTAAATACGACCCTAAGGAGGGATTTCAATATGATATAGCTGTAATATACGTATCTGGACAAATTCGACCAAATGATAAAGTTGATAGAACTTCGTATATATTGCATGATGTAGCTATAGGTTCTACCGTTAGAAGTTTTGGTTATGGAGGTGTAACTGGTGGCGGATTTCCTAAAAAATTGCAGGTGACTGATAATGTTGTGCAAGCTTATGAAAACAATTTAATCAGAGTGGAAGCATCGAAAACGGGCACTGCAGGGGTAAGTTTAACGCTGTTAAGTTCTTAGATCAAACTTGATTAATTTAAAATTTAGGGTGATTCAGGTGGTCCATGCATGTTTGAGAACTATTTTGTTGGCGTTATTGTGGGAGGTGTGGTTGATGGGGATGGTAAACCTATATACGATATCAACGTAAATATAGCTCGTCCAGAAATTGTATCATTTATACGTTCTCATGGTCTTTAAAATGAAATTAACTCTAATAATAAAAATAATGTTTATGTTAATTAAACTAAATATGAAATAAAATGCATTACAACAAATAAAAACTTATCAAACTATTAACACGTTAACTGCCATGCATGAAATGTATATTACAATTACCACAAAAAATGAGTTTTATCCTAATATAAAGCATTTCTTATAGAAAATTCGAAAATATTATATCGAAGGGGAAATTGACTCATATGCAAAATGTTTATTTGGTATTAGAGATATTTTCAAATACTTGACAAGTCAGTATTTGGCAATAAGAGGCTTAAAATTTGGATCAGCACCTCTAAGTATCCGAATTATTAATGATATTTTTTGGCTTTTGTGAAAAATCGTTAACTAATGCAGAGCAACTCTCTAACATAATAAAAGTCTTTTTATTACGACTCAATGCTCATCTTACATGTTGAGGTTACTGATACGTTAGAGTAAGCAATATGGACGGTGTTAAAGACAGAGTATCAGTAAAGAATTGTTTCCTAAAGCATCGCAAAAGGTTAAATTTCTTAACAAAGTGAAAGACAAAGATTGTGATAAAATTTCAAATTCTTTGATTAGCAAGTTTAAGACTATGCAGAAGATACTAGTCTTTGACTAGCATGGTCTTCCAGCTTAAGAAACTACTCACTCACAAACTTCTTCGTCCATTATTATTGAATTAACACACAAAAGACTCAGATTTAAAAGATTGTTTCTATAATATATAGGCATATTATTAAGACTATACATGTACTACTTCATTATTTTATTAAAATCAGTTAATTTGTCCTATAGAACGTCTAGCGTAAGAAGTAATACAGGAGATCTTGTCAATGCAAGATACAGTAGTAATGCAATAGCAGTTTTTACAGAAACTTGCCTAATTAAAAATATCTAAGCTGTGTAATACCATCAGCAAAAAATTGATTTAATTTGAACCGATTACTTAACTATGCCTTATAAGGTTGGAGGTAAACTTAATAATAATATTTTTACGGATGAAAGTGATATACAAAGTAAACAGACGAAACAAGTCCGATGTAGAATGTAGAATAAGCTATGTAATTAAATATAGATTGTCATGATGTCGATATTTGAAGGAACTCCTCGGCGCTGTAGAAGATATTGGGTATCAGCAATCGTTGAGTTTTTGCATAAAAGCGTTGTAAAATAGCCTTTTACCGGTCATAATACCATAGTATTATTATAAGTAAAACTGAAGAAAATGGTAAAATGGCTACTCGCAATAGCTGTAAACATCAGTTTTGCACCTATACGAAGTTAGCCCCCAATTTTTCTAACTACCAATTAGATAAGATTTTACATGTATAGTATTTTGATTATAACAGGAGAACATCTCAATCCATTTTGATGAACAATATCTCATTCAAAAGCTTAATCCTTAGCCAATTCGAAAATGGAAATGCCTGACTTGAAATTTGTCTCGAATTCCGCTAAAACACCAAAATACACATAAAGGACTTGTTTTAGGTGGTCTATTTAGGTGTACGATATACTCGATTATGTAAACCTAACGAATTTGTTGCAAACTTTATTTTTAACAAAGTTGCTCTTTTACACTTTTGCTCTCAGATGCATAAATAGCGAGAAAAGTTCGAATAGGTGAAAATTAGATGAAATCGTGGTTTTACATTTTGGTGTTTGAAGAGCATGGGATTCGGAACGTTTTAGAAGAAAAATTTGAGTATAAAAGTTGTGGTAAATTTTATTATTAACAATATTACTATTTTACACTTTTGCTCTCAGATGCAGAAATATCGAGAAATGTTCGAAAAGGTGAAAATTAGATGAAATTGTGGTTTTACATTTTGTTGCTGGTAGAGCATGGTATTCGGAACATGTTAGAAATAAAGTTTTAGTGTAAAAGTTGTAGCAAACTTTATTCTTAACAATATTACTCTTTTACACTTTTGCTCTCAGATGCAGAAATATCGAGAAATGCTCGAAAAGGTGAAAATTAGATGAAATCGTGGTTTTGCATCTTCTTGCTGGTAGATCATGGTGGTCGAAATATGTTAGAAATAAAGTTTTGGTATAAAAATTGTAGCAAATTTTATTCTTAACAATATTGCTCTTTTACACTTTTGCTCTCAGATGCATAAATAGCGAGAAAAGTTCGAATAGGTGAAAATTAGATGAAATCGTGGTTTTACATTTTGTTGTTTGTAGAGCACGGGATTCGGAACGTTTTAGAAAAAAAATTGTAGTATATAAGTTGTGGCAAATTTTATTGTTAACAATATTACTCTTTTATACTTTTGCTCTCAGATGCAGAAATATAGAGAAATGTTCAAAAAGGTGAAAATTAGATGAAATCATGGTTATGCAACTTGTTGTTAGTAGATCATGGGATTCGAAACATATTAGAAATAAAGTTTTGGTATGAAAGGTGTAGCAAACTTAATTCTTAACAATATTACTCTTTTACACTTTTGCTTTCAGATGCATAAATATCGAGAAAAATTCGAAAAGGTGAAAATTAGATGAAATCGTGGTTTTGCATCTTGTTGCTGGTAGATCATGGTGGTCGGAATATGTTAGAAATAAAGTTTTGGTATAAAAATTGTAGCAAATTTTATTCTTAACAATATTGCTCTTTTACACTTTTGCTCTCAGATGCATAAATAGCGAGAAAAGTTCGAATAGGTGAAAATTAGATGAAATCGTGGTTTTACATTTTGTTGTTTGTAGAGCACGGGATTCGGAACGTTTTAGAAAAAAAATTGTAGTATATAAGTTGTGGCAAATTTTATTGTTAACAATATTACTCTTTTATACTTTTGCTCTCAGATGCAGAAATATAGAGAAATGTTCAAAAAGGTGAAAATTAGATGAAATCATGGTTATGCAACTTGTTGTTAGTAGATCATGGGATTCGAAACATATTAGAAATAAAGTTTTGGTATGAAAGGTGTAGCAAACTTAATTCTTAACAATATTGCTCTTTTACACTTTTGTTCTCAGATGCATAATTATGGAGAAATATTCGAAAAACTGAAAATTAGATGAAATCGTGGTTTTACATCTTGTTGCTGGTAGAGCATGGTATTCGGAATATGTTAGAAATAAAGTTTTGGTATGAAAGGTGTAGCAAACTTAATTCTTAACAATATTGCTCTTTTACACTTTTGTTCTCAGATGCATAATTATCGAGAAAAATTCGAAAAAGTGAAAATTAGATGAAATCGTGGTTTTACATCTTGTTGCTGGTAGAGCATGGTATTCGGAATATGTTAGAAATAAAGTTTTGGTATAAAAGTTGTAGCAAACTTTATTCTTAACAATATCGTTCTTTTACATTTTTGCTCTCAGATGCATAAATATCGAGAAAAATTCGAATAGGTGAAAATTAGATGAAATCGTGGTTTTTTTACATTTTGTTGTTGGTAGAGCACGGGATTGGGAACGTTTTAAAAAAAAAGTTTTTGCATAGAAGTTGTAGCAAATTTTATTCTAAACAATGTCGTGGTTTTACATCTTGTTTTTGGTACAGCACGGGATTCGGAACGTTTTAGAAAAAAAGTTTTTGTATGAAAGTTGTAGCACACTTTATTCTTAACAATATCGCTCTTTTACACTTTTGCTCTCAGATACATAAATATCGAGCAAAATTCGATTAGTCGAAAAGTAGATGAAATCGTGGTTTTACATTTTGTTGTTGGTAGAACATGGGATTGGGAACGTTTTAGAAAAAAAGCTTTTGTATAGAAGTTGTAGCAAATTTTATTTTAAACAATATTGCTCTTTTACACTTTTACTCTCAGATGCATAAATATCGAGCAAAATTCGAATAGGCGAAAAGTAGATGAAATCGTGCTTTTACATTTTGTTGTTGGTAGAGCACGGGATTGGGAATGTTTTAGAAAAAAAGTTTTTGCATAGAAGTTGTAGCAAATTTTATTCTAAACAATATTGCTCTTTTACACATTTGCTCTCAGATGCATAAATATCCAGCAAAATTCGAATAGGCGAAAAGTAGATGAAATTGTGATTTTTTTATATTTTGTTGTTTGTACCTAGAGCACGGGATTCGGAACGTTTTAGAAGAAAAGTTTTAGTATAAAAGTTGTGGTAAATTTTGTTGTTAACAATATTAATCTTTTACACTTATGCTCTCAGATGCAGAAATATAGAGAAATGTTCGAAAAGGTGAAAATTTGATGCATTTTGTTGCTAGTAGATCATGGGATTCCAAACATATTAGAAATAAAGTTATGGTATAAAAGGTGTGGCAAACTTTATTCTTAACAATATTGCTCTTTTACACCTTTGCTCTCAGATGTATAAACATCGAGAAAAATACGAAAAGGTGAAAATTAGATGAAATCGTGGTGTTACTTCTTGTTATTGGTAGAGCACGGGATTCGGAACCATTTAGAAAAAAAGCTTTGGTATAACAGTTATAACAAACTTTATTGTTAACAATATTGCTCTCTTTTACACATTTGCTCTCAGCTGCATAAATACCGAGAAAAGTTCGAAAAGGTGAAAATTAGATGAAATCGTAGATTTGAAATCGCGCATTTCTACTTTCGTGCTCTTTGTGGACCATACTTTCAATCGAGATCTTGATAATTAAGATAGGTCAATTAATAAAGAGGATAATTGATGTGATGTGTTTGATTAGTTAGTTTCTTGTGTTAATCAAAACACTTAAATTATTTTTTTCTTATTGGGGGCTAGAATTTTGGTCGTCCATAAACAACATAAACAACGAGCCGAACATGATGTTGTTCTGAGTACTGTACAAGGTTAACGGGAAAGAATTGAGATCGAGGATTCTGTAATTTCAATAGAAGAAGCTATGGCGAAACAAATGGGGTATAGATTTTGACCCCATTTAAGAAAGGTTAATTTTGTGTTGTTTTCGTGTACTTTCCTAACATTTTGGAGTTTTAGCAAAATTCAAAAGATATTTTGAATTGGGCATTTCCTCTTTCGTATTGGGCAAGGATTAAGCTTTCGAATGAGATATTGTTCATCAAAATCGGTTAAGAGGATCTCTTGTTATCATCAAAACAGTATTTTGACACGTTGTACCCTATCTAATTGAGGTCTCATTTGTAATTTAATAAACAACGTTAACTAATAATTTATTCAATGTCAAAAAAAAGTGTTGATTATATGCAAGTTTTACATCTTAATTTTAAATTTTATAATGTATTCATTTTTGAAGTTTAAAATTGAATAATTTAAAACCAATTAAGATTATATGTTTTTTTGTTCTAGTATCAAAGATTAAAATAACATTCAATGTTGAATTGATTAGAATTATAAGATACGAAATAAAATCGAGAGAATTATTTTTACGTTTACTTACTCCTGGCATAATAACTTTCTCAACATCTTCCAAAACTTCTTCCCAACGGTCTGGTTTTAATGGTGCGGAATCGGGCAACAAAGGTCTCAAATATCCCGGTTCAACGGTTGGTAAAACACGCCTAAGAACGAAAAATCAAAACCGATTAGGTCAAGGTTTGTTTCTATATCGATGCAGACTGACAACTTTTACTTCTTGGACACATTGCGTTTGTCGCACGAGAATGTGTGACCTATAACATTCTGTTTTTACGGTTAACACATTCTCTAATCACAAATTAATAGTGAACTCATTGTTTTTTTTTAATTATTAAATATCAATTTAAAACAAATATATCGTAGGCATAAATCAAAATAAATTAAAACGCGTATCTGAAAACAGTTTAAAATTGTAACAGAATTTTATTTATAATAGCTATAATAATATGATATTGTATCTGTGATAGAGAATGTTTAATCTCTTAATAAGGGGCCTTGACACGATTATGAACGATTGCGAGATTGACAAGATTATTAATTGAACGAAATACAATCCGGGGTTATTGAAATATGGATATTGTTGTTAGAGATTGTTTAAATAGGTAAAAAAGTGAAAGTAATTTTTTTTTAGATTCTTATCGTTCAAATCAAGTAATATATTAAATAAAATTAGATTCTTTGCACTTTTCTGATGGATTTGTTTTATTTTCGGTTTTACGATTTCGATTTAATTATAAATTATCTTCAAGATAATATGACAGTAATATATGTTATTTTAAATTGAGGAAATATTATTATTATACTATTAGGATTTTGATAAACACATGATATTACCGGTGTAACGATGTATCATTCAATGCTAACGAAAACGAAACATTAACTTTAATTAGCTTTGGTTCTTCAACAATTAGGAATTTCAATTATGGGAAAATCCGTTTAAAATTACACTAATTTCTTTTAAAACAATGAGGTAAAACACTTTAAAATCATATTTTCTTTAATTACACTACATACCTATCTCTTATGTTCTCCAAATATTTGGTAACATAATCAATCATAGCTTTTCCAAATTCGGTAAATCCTGCTGAATCCATTTCTACAAAGATAAATTTTTTTAAGTAATGTATTATTATAATAAACAAAAATTAACACACAAATATCAACAAAATAACAGAAGCACGCAAAACTTTAAAAAAATCCTGAAATAAGCGAACAAAGACAATCAATTCACAACAAAAAGGACCCAAAAATAATTTTAGAATAACTAACCGCCTTCCATGGTGTGTTAATAAACTAGTAAATTCTTTTTGTATTAATTAATTTCTTTCACACTTTCCTTCAAATTAACTTAACCCACCTCTTAAATTATTTTTAAGTATCACTTAATAATTATTACTAAAAACTGATAATGATTTTTTCAAGGTAACGTTAAATGACTGTAAAAACTTAAAGTTTCACTTATCAGTTTAATTTAAAATGGTTTAAAATTCGCGGGAGATACGTTTTATCTGCGAACGTTGTGAGAATTATCAGCTCTGGAAGGTCGAAGTCTCGCTTAAATCTCAACCGGTAGCAAGAGTGGGGATTTTCGTATCGATCATTCATACTAAAATCCGAAAAGAAAATCGTAAGAATGTTACTTAAACATACTCACGCGAGTGGTTTTGCGTCATCGGTCTTTACCTTGTTTTTTTTTTATTTCTTTTTGTGGTCAGTGGTAATCCCCTTTATAATTTAAATGAAAGCTACCGTTTTTTTAAGAAATTTAATCTGGTTTTTTTCCTTTTTAGTCTGTTTTGGTTTGTAATTACAGGAAATGATTAATAAATCATACCATAACAAAGTATATAGATTTAGAAAAGATTTATTCGAAATTAAATCTTCTTATCGCCACAAATCTTCCCTCTTGCGAAAAGAGATGAAAACGAATTCCTAAATCTAAAAGTCGAATAAGCTACTTCAATTTTCTTTTTCTCCCTCTAAAATAAAGTCAGAATTTACTATTTAATGTTTATTACACATAAATTAATTAATCATCCCTTCGTTTACAGCTTGAATAAGTTTGATTTATCCTTTGGGACAAAGTTAAATCGACCTTTTCAATGGTAAAAGGCCTTGGGAAAGGAGAGCTTTAGGTCTCCAAAGCTTCACTTCATTTCCTACTTGTTGCAGATGACAAGAACAGAGATGGAACGAGGAAAGGGCCACTCTGTTACCTTGGCAACCAGACAAAAGGGTCCCAACAGCATCAACCATCAAGCTTTCCCTAAAGTGATTTCGTTTTAATAGACGTGAACCTCTTGAAAATGGATGGATTGATGTGTGGATTTGATGGGGCTTTAAAAAATTTATATTTATTGAATAAAGAATAAAATAAAAAAGAATAACATCAAACCCTATACAAAGGTAGTCTCCAATTTTTATAATCGAATTTTGCTCGATATTTATGCATCCGAGAGCAAAATTGTAAAAGGGCAATGTTGTTAAGAATAAAATTGGTTATATCTTTTATACTAAAACTTTTTTTCTAAAATGTTTCAAATCACTTGCTCTAGTAACAACAAAATGTAAAACCTCGATTTCATCTAATTTTCACATATTCGAATTTTTCTTAATATTGATGCGTCTAAGAGTAAAAATGTAAAAGAGCAATATTGTTAAGAATAAAATTTGCTACAACTTTTATACCAAAACTTTTTTTCTAAAACGTTCCCAATCCCATGCTCTACCAACAACAAAATGTAAAATCACGATTTTATCTAATTTTCACCTATTCGAGTTTTGCTTGATATTTATGCATCTGAGAGTAAAATTGTAAAAGAGCAATATTGTTAAGAATAAAGTTTGCTATAACTTTCATACAAAAACTTTTTTTCTAAAACGGTCTGAATCACTTGCTCTAGTAACAACAAAATGTAAAACCTCGATTTCATCTAATTTTCACATATTCGAATTTTTCTTAATATTGATGCGTCTAAAAGTAAAAATGTAAAAGAGCAATATTGTTAAGAATAAAATTTGCTACAACTTTTATACCAAAACTTTTTTTCTAAAACGTTCCCAATCCCGTGCTCTACCAACAACAAAATGTAAAACCACGATTTCATCTACTTTTCGCCTATTCGAATTTTGCTCGATACTTATGCATCTGAGAGTAAAAGTGTAAAAGAGCAATATTGTTAAGAATAAAGTTTACTACAACTTTTACAATAAAACTTTTTTCTAGAATGTTCCATATCTGGTGCTTAGGTTAACTAAATTAATATTTTCTTATTGTAAGCCGAACACGGTGTCATTCTGAAAGCTGTACAAGGTTAACAGGAAAAAAATGAGATCAGGCATTTTATAATTTTGATAGAAGAAACTATGGCGAATCTAATGAGATATTGATTTTGATAATCAAGTACATCATCTACGAGTTATGATTACCTAAAAAGGTAATTTTTGTGTTATTTTCGTATACTTTCGTAATATGTTGGCGTTTTTGCGGAATTCAAAAGAGATTTAGAATCGGGCATTTCTACTTACATATTGGCCAAGGATTAAGCTTTCGAATGAGATATTGATCATTAAAATCGGTTGAGAGGTTCTCTTGTTATATTAATCCTTTGTAATCAAATTAAAAGTAAATAACCAAATTTTACGTAAATGTATAATAATTGAATTGATTTAAATGGTTATTATTATAATATATTATTATTAAACGTGATGCAACAAGTGGTTAAATTGAACAAGCTAAATGCGTAAGAAGTACGAATAAATTGCTTTAATGAAAGAAAAAAAATGTAAGAAAAAATTAAAACATACGACACGTTACCTCATACATTTTCATCTTCGTGCGATTAAAGTCCATTGATTTTATTTTGAATTAATAAAAAAAAATGTTTTATTGATATTAATGCATAAAAAATATAAACATTTTATAATTATAAAAAAGTTCGGTTTTCGTTTATGGATCACATGTAAAATTTGTAACGTAATAACGTCTATAACGGCCATCCTGCGATATTAAGGAAAATGTAAAATCTGAAGGCAAATCACCGGTATTAAGGAATTTCAGTGGTATTGAAATTGTATTGTGGGAACATTCATCTTCAATAAATACATTATCCGGTAAAATGATTCCACTATCGGTGTTATCTAGTACAATATCATATTTAACTGAATCACAAAGGTTTGATTTATCAATGCCGGAACCCAAAATTATTTCTTGTAAAATTTGCATTCCTATTGTAGTGCCTGAAAAAAATATAAAAAAGTTATTTGTATATAAAGGTTGTAAAATCATTTCTAAAAACACCCAAATAGTAAAATTTTAGAAGAGATTAAAGAATGATTAAGAATGGCCGTAATGATTAACCGATAAAGAATACAAGAAAATATTGGACAAAAACTGAAAATAAATAATTGATTCAATGGAACAAAAAACCAATTAACTCAGTTAACTAGTATTAACTCAATAATAACAACGTCATGGTACGAACATGGTAAAATCAATACCATCCCAAACGCAATGAAATCAAATTCCATGCTATTTGTTCAGATAAATCACTGATGATTCTTTCTCAATTGTAAAAATTGCCATGATGAGCTACGAGAACATAGGCTAACTATGTTTCTAAACCATCACCAGAAGGTCAGAAAAGAATATGTTACTACTAAATCGATTCATTATTCATTCTAAATAAAACTGCAGGTTAACAATGTAAGATAATCAGAATATAAATAATAGGGCATTAGGATATCTATTTTATGGAATAAATGTGATCGTCCAAAATCAGCAGAAATAGTCAAAGCTACTTTAGGACATAATCTCAATTATCCTGGAATGACCAGATGGAATTGTTATTATGACAGACTTACCCAAATTTCATTAAATATTTTTATTGAAAAATTGAATTTATTGATGAATTGAATTGATGAACATCTTAAAATTCTCCAACCATTTGCTTATACAGTATATAATATAAAAAATAGAGATTCTAATATTTGTTATAAATCATAATTTACAACAAAAATATTATATTATTATAATAATACGGTAAAAAAATTATATAACAAAACTTTATGCCATACACAATTTTCTACTACCATATAATTTTGTGTAATTATTCAACAAATAACTCTTTATACAAACGGATTTAATAAAAAATGGTAATTTACCTCAGCAACGAACTCATCCATATAAATGTGGTAAAAATTAAATCGAATTCAAACGTTATGTTAAAAACTACAAACATGAAGATCGTTTTCATCGTTATCAGCGCTTTTTTGGTATTACAGCTTAAAGTAAGCTTAAATAAATTTTAAATAAACATTACAAGATTATAATTTTTTTAATTTAATTTAAGGCTGACGAAATGCAAGATGCCAACACTAAATGTGTCGCAGAATTGGAATTGGATCCGGCTCAACACGAAAAATTGATAAAATTTCGCCGCGTTCCATTGAGTCACGACCAAAAATGTTTGATGAGATGTGTTTTTAAAACGGTGGGTTACGTAACTGCTGATAATAAATTACAGGAGGGATACATTGAATCAAAATTGCCCGGAAGTACCCAGGAGCAAGTCGATGAGTGCTACGGAAAATTCACAACGGAATGTGAAGGGTTTTATGATATGATTATGTGTTTTGGTCAACTTGAACATAAAAGTAAATAAAATGAAATAATAAATGTTAAATAATAACATAATTCTTAAATAAATTTATTTCGAACGATTAAAAGTTGTTATGATCAAAATTGTGAAAATCATGGAAATTATGATATTTTTTGGCATTTTTATTTTGGCCAAAACTTAAGACTTATGAATCTTTACAAAATGAGTTGTGACAGCTCTGGTAGTCAGTAATGTTGACATTCATAATGGCGAAATGAATCGTACGTTGTCTCTTCTTGATATAGTCACAATAAAACTGTCTCTGCAGCAAATGTAACTTGGCACAACTGATATCGAATTTAACCGTAATCGTAACTGTGAATAATTTCAAAACTTTAACCCAAGCCGTTTAGCTACTGTTATTGAAGTTGCTGTTTGTAACCAAATATGTTCCATTGCCATATTTGCCTCTCGATTAACATTTTGTTCTATCCATTGTCGATTGCCCACCGCTCTTCGTTAGTAATCCATTTCTATTGACTTCAAGATTTTCTCCGTTTTTTCTTGTATTTCTTCGTGTATATTATTATACTCTTTACTATTGTGTTATAGATTTGATACTTATTCATGTTCGATGTAGCTTCATCCCACAACGTACCCTACATCATTAGCATTGCTCTTCAATCTGGTTATTTGTGCTCCCAACTATTTGTACTTGCTGGTATATTTAAGCACTTCCCACCGTTATATCGGGGTTTTAACGCTTTGTGGTATTTGTTACATGAAACTTAAAATCATAATTAATATATGAAATGAAACAGTTCTGTTTGTAGGTACGCGCATGGTAGCTAGAAAGCGGTAGTAGCAAAAAAAAATAGCAACTAGAGAACAAAAAGCTCTTTATGTTCTGCAATTTACAAAGTCCGAATCTGTAGTTACTGTGCAAAGTGCGTTCCGGATTAAGTTCAGATGTGATCCCATGGTTTATGTGCCAACTTCACACATGATATGTTGTTGCACGACGATTTTCTGGATCATGTTGTTTTCAGTGATGAATCCACATTTCAGATCAGTGGATATGTAAACCTTCATAATGTGCGTATTTGGAGCTTAGAAAATCCTCACCAAATTGTTGAATTGCAACGAGACTCTCCTAAATTAATACACTTCTTTCTTTGGAGAAGCAACTGTAACTGGTAGGTATTTCCTATCTTGATGCTCTACAACAATGGCTATTTCCCCAATTGGTAGAAGCCGAACCAAATAACTTCATTCGGCAGCAAGATGGTGTACCGCGCCACTGGCATAACGAAGTACGCCATTGGTTGAACGTCACGTATCAATTTGAAGTGTGCCCTGTAAAGCTTACAAGTGTATTCATCACACTGTGATGATGTGAGTGGTCACATTGAACACTTGTAAGCTTGTAAGTATAACTGTTTGAGTTACTTTTTCATTTCATGTTTTAATTAGAATTTTAAGTTTCATGTAGTAAATACTACAAAGTGTTAAAACCCTGATATTTATTTAGAAAGACCTTGTACATTAATTTCCAAGCCACAATTTCCACTCTTCTATGAGCTTCCTGATCATGTACTCCATATCTTGCTGGTCCTGTGCAATTACTATTTAGTCGACGAAATTTTGTGTGTTGTTGCTACCACTTTGTCATCACTTCATAATTGATCCAATTATGTCGATGAGCTCATGCCAGATATAAAATCAACGAAGAATTAGATTTGCGATACCACAAAAGCGGATCATCTTCTTAGTCAAAAGAGAAATGTGGGGTAAGAACGAGGGGAAAGAGACAAAGTTGGCTGAATCATTACCGAATAATTAAAAGGGAACAAAGGCTCCTATATAGCAAGACAATAATGCGTTTTATTTAATAAAGATTTAGTAACGCATAAATGACTTGTTATTTTCTATAAACATCGTCGTTAAGATCGTTTAAACCTAATATTCAACTCTAAATAATAGTGACCAGGGATGAAAACACTACAAACTCTAATTCTATAAATATGAAACTAAAATATGACTTATAGGAGGCGATAGTAGTATAGAAACGCCGATTCTAGATAGGCAGTTGCTCCTTCGCTCCTCCGTGACGTAATTCGCCCAATGTAAAAGTATAGGGAATGGTACCAACCTAAGGCTGAAGAGAAAAAAAAGGTTAGTATTGGAAAAGTAACTAGATCTGGTGACTTTTTAAAAAAGTAACTAGAAAAATTAGCGCCACCTGTAGACTGTTACTTTTTTTAAAAAGTCACCAGATCTAGTTACCAACCAATATTTTTCCCCCATTTGACACCCCTCCCTATACTGTTACATTAAGCGGATGACGTCACGGAGAAGTGGAGGAGCAACTTCCTGTATAGAATCGGCGTTTCTGATAGATGGCGCGGGCGTAAATTCAAAAATTTAAATTTACCTGATGAATGAATATTCCGGAAATAATAATAATACTGAAAATGCAAACAAATGAGGTTTCTCACAACCAAACCAACTGAATAAGTAGGTAGACTTCAAAAATATTGAAGAAATTAATGTAAATATGGCCACCGAAGATGTTGGAAGATATCAAGGACGTCAGGGACACAATGAGTGATAGGATACATCAAGGACAATTTTCATATCATAGACTATTCATGCAGCATTCAATTCGGGCATCAATACTGAAAATTGGAGGGGATATTGACAATATTATTGACCATGTATGGTTGGCGCCAATATTTCCATCAATACTCAGTGTAATAAACTCAACATCCAAAATTAAATACTTTTATTTAATTGCAACAATAACAAAACATGTTATTGTAACAAAACACACATATATTTATTTTAACCCTTTAATAGCCAAATAATTTTTTCGTTTTTAGAAACGATTTAGTTGTGATAATGAAGCTCTTTGACCTTATTGATAAGTGGTCTCTATAGAAGCCACTAACCGTTAAAGGGTTAACCCAGATGATTTGAAATAGGTTTAATACTTATTTTCTACATTACACACAGTTCGGTTCAAGCCACGCGCCTGTGAAGAAGTGGTGAAAATGACCGATCCATTAACTGACGTTGTTGATGTTCAACACGATGAAGATATTGTTGGTTCATGTCTTGTAGGACATATATAAAGGTTTCACAGGTTTCTATTACAGGTTTCTATTACAGTTGCTGGGGACGATATAAAAGAAAACTTCAAGTCTTCAAAATTTTTTCCTGTGGCCAAATACCTCAGGGTTAAGGGTAATTTTTCCCTAACACTTGTACTTTCTCTCATATTGTTATCCTGTCTTTTCAAAAATGGTTTAACCATCTAACAGTTTGTTAAAGGAACTTTCATCCATTCAAAAGTAGATCTTGAAATCATCATCATCGCAGAGGTTGATTTTTTTCAACAGTACTAGATGAGAATATTCATCTCTTTTCTTCAACCATTCTTTCATCCAGTGTTTGCGTTTCACTCGACGAGTAGTTCCAAGCGCCAAAATAATAGCTACGCAAGCTTTTGTACGATTATCCATACTTGGAAAGGAATAACCGAGTAAAATTACGTTGATTCATCCTGTTCGTGGTAAAAAGGTAACTTATGGAGCAAACTTATTGACAAAAATATTGACAATAATATTGATCGTATAAGGTAGTGAAGTATTGAGACTAGTTACCACAAGGATTGATGGTTGTATTGTCAATACCAGGAGTGGCCAACCTGCGGCCCGCGGGCCGCATGAGGCCCACCTAAATTTACCAGCTAATAACAAATTATATGTAAAAGAAAAAAAAGAGCTTGATAATTTTATTTTTAAAAGTTAGACCTGGTTATTTATGGAACTTTAGAAGAAATACTGTCAACATGTGGAAGTAGTTAAATACTTGGCGCCTGGAAGTCCAGCCCCAATATCCTCATTGTAAATCGGTTATAATAAGAAAACCTATCCCCAGAAATTCGACTTCTTTTATTGTTTATTGTCTTTCAAAAACCCTTTTGAGTAACCCCTCTATTGCAATGCCTGGCTAGGTCCTTGTTTGCCGGTGGGTGTGTAAAAAGCAGCGTTATAATCTGTCCGCTCACTTTGACTATTGAAGTACGTCAGTGCTAGTTGATAATTTGTTTTCCAGTTTCGTTTTGTGTGAAAGCAGGTAATACAAATTCCATTCAATTAAAAATTAATTAAATTATTTTATTTTTTTTATTTCCTTCTAATTATCAGTATGAGTGCAAAGAAAAGAAAAATAGTGGACGAAAATAGAAGGTATAGCGATGAATGGGAAGAAAAGTATTTTTTTATAACTCAAAACACAAAATTAATGTGTTTAATTTGTCGAGAAACCGTCGCTGTGTTTAAGGATTATAATGTTAAAAGACACTACGAAACAAAACACAATGATTATTTGAAATTCGATAAAGAAGTGAAACAATCGAAGCTCCAGGAATTAAAGTCACAATTAAGAACTCAACAAAAAATGTTTGGTTCAGCTTTACAGCAACCTTTCAATATTGTTAAGGCAAGCTATTCTGTTTCATTCTTGATAGCAAAAAAAATGAAAACATTTTCGGATGGTGAATTTGTGAAAGAATGTTTGGAAGCTGTAGCAAAGGATATTGTTCCTGATAAAAGTAAACTATTTTCGAATATAAGTCTGTCCCGGCAAACAGTGTGTCGTCGAATTAATGACATTTCAAATGAAATTATTCTAAAACTGCGCGATCGAATTTGAGATTTCAAATATTTTTCCTTAGCATTCGACGAAAGTACAGACATTTCAGATACAGCTCAACTTGTAGTATTCGTTAGTGGAATAAATGAATTATTTGAAATAACTGAAGAAATGTTAAGCTTGATAAGTTTGAAAGATACTACAAAAGGTGAAGATATTTTCCATGCTGTTGAAAACTGTTTACGCGAAAACAACTTGGGTTTCGAAATTCTTACTGCAATATCAACACACCGCCTGCTATGATCGGCAAAGATAAGGGAGCTATAAAATTACTGATCGGTAAAATAGAATCCAAGAACAAAACGCATAATTGCTGTAAAAGAGATGATTTATTTATAATCCACTGTTTGATTCAACAACAAAATCTATGTGCCCAAGTATTATCGATGAATCATGTTATGCAAGTAGTCATAAAAACAGTTAATTAGATTCGATCACATGCACTTCCTCACCGACAATTTAAGGAGTTCCTGAAAGAATTGGATTCTGAATATGGTGACGTAGTATACTTCAGTCATGTCAGATGGTTAAGTCGTGGAAGATGTTTACAGCGATTTTATGAGTTACGTCAAGAAATTGATTTGTTTATGAATGATAAGCAAATACCAGTACCAGAATTAAGAAATGATGAATGGTTATTGGATTTATGCTTTTTAGTGGATATTGTCGAAAAACTCAATCAATTAAATATATCATTACAGGGGAAAGATAATTTAATAATCGATATGTTTAATCACATCAAAGCATTTCAGAAGAAATTATTGTTATTTGAATCTCAATTGAAAAATAATAACGTTCAACACTTTCCATTGTTAAAAGATTTGAAAAATTCAAAATGTAACAATTACATTAAATATGCAAAAGAAATAAGAAAACTTGCAGCTGCTTTTGAGAGTCGTTTCACTAATTTAGACCAATACAACAAAATATTTGAAATATATTCATCTCCCTTTCATGTTGAGGTCGAGTCGGCCCCAGAATATCTCCAAATGGAACTGATTGACTTACAATGCAATAGTCAGTTAAAACAAATTTTTGAAACGGTAGAATCTAAAATAGATTTTTATAACATTTATATCACAAAAGAAAAATTTTCAAATTTGAGAAATTTGGCACAAAAAGTTGTGAGTGCTTTTGGAACAACTTATACCTGTGAATCTTTTTTTTCAAAATTTAAATTCACCAAACATAAATCACGATCGAACTTGACAAACGAAAACCTACAACACCAATTACGATGTGCAAATACCCGCATAGATATAGATTTGCTAAAGTTAAGTGAAAGAGTTGAAAAACAAATATCTCACTAATTAAATAAAATATAATTATTGTTAATCATTTTATTATTATATTATCTATGTTTATCCATCATATCTTTGAGTAATTATAAAAACAATAACAATAAATCATTCTGTTTTAAATATTTACTCAAAAAATTTTTTATGCGGCCCGCGAGATTATAAAATATTTTCAAAGTGGCCCGCAAGATCGTTTTGGTTGGCCACCCCTGGTCAATACTGATATTGACTATACTATTGATCGTGTAAGGGCCGCTATAGAGAAGAGTCGATGCGATTATGTGCTAGAAGTAACGAGAAGTGAAGAAAGGCATTAATTAAAGGCACAATTAAAAAACACTCAAAGCAACATTTCAAAGATTAATCTCACACGATGTTTTATCTGGATATGGAAAATCGCGTTGGTTATCTCAAAGATGTCATTATGTGGCATCTTATATAGCCTGTTGTATTAAAGACATATATACCAAACACTTGAACTACAACTACGACAAAGTTGCAACTGACTTGTTGTTTATTTGGTTCAAATATTGGTTATAGCAATTAACTAGTACCGTATAAACCCAAAAACGCTAAATTCCTGCATAAAATGTTTCACATTGTCTCTTTTGAATAAATTATTAAAAGACTCTTAAAAGATGAACATAACACATCACGCAATATTGCTTAAATCAAAAGAGTATTCTGGTAAAACATCCTTTGGAATGTTGCTGGAGCGTCTTTTGATCCAATGCAATCATATGAGAATGCCTTTGATTAAATGTTTCTTAAATGATTGCTTAGTAGTCCTCGCAAAAATGAGGTTCTCCTAGCTTCTTGGATTCTACAGAATCGGCTGTCCTCAATGAGTTTCTCACAAATGCTTCCTTTTTATCGGTGAATTTATTGTCCCTACACTGATTTGGTTATTTGCACTACACTTTTTTTATGATCTTACTAAAAAATACTCACCCTTGTATTATAAATTTTAATGTAATCTTAAAACTACAAAATAACAAAAACAATAATTTTCTTACCAATATTTCTTTTAAAAAAATCTAAAACATCCCCTTCACAAATCCTCAACATTAACTCCATAATCGTATTCCAAAATAATCTGTTTCGACATGGAACCTCAAGAAAAACGCGTTCTAATCCTCCTCCAGTACTTGATTGTCTAAAGTCCATAACATTTTTAGGTAAAAAAACCTCGATGACTTCTTTTGAACGAGATTCTTTCATAATGATCTCAAAATTAATCGCGAAATCACCTACATTTGGGTTTCTAAAGTAAATATAAACACTTTGTTCTTCGTACATTAAAATGGTACAAAAAGCTTGAAATTCAAATACTCCTGTCTCATCAAATTGTGTTGTGGTTGAGACAGGCATAAATTTCGATGGTGTTTGAAGTTCTTCTTTTTGAGCAAATGGAATGTTAGCTAAATCGTCTGGTGTTTGAACCATATCGTAAGTTAATTGAATATTATAAGCTGTTTCAATAGAATATGGCGATTTTACTGTAAATGATACATCTGATACTTCATAAAGATAAATTGGATATTTTATTGTTGATGTCATATAAGTTACATCTGGTATTCCAATTAACGTGAATGCCCGATTTCTTGAAAAATGATAACTATCATTTTCACCACTTAAGAATAATGTACAAGTTATATTCTTCGCGAATTTCGCGTAATATGTTATTAGAATTTTACACGACTTTCCTGGTGGTATAACATACATATCTTCATCTGTTGTAAAACAATTATCTTCGTTTGAAAAGAATATAACTTTATAACAAATAGGAAAATCGTTTATATTTTTTAAAACGATTGTGTTAAAGGCTTTTTGTGATAATCCAATTGTAAAATCAATCGTTTCGTATGGATACATACTTGGTAAAACCTCAAATAAATAAGCTATTAACATTAACATATGTACTGAATTTGGATCGAGAATATCTTCAGGTTTAACTGCAAAACTACAATTTAACATTTTCCAACATCTTGTAACTATACAAGTATTATGTAATAATTCTTCAAACATATCAGCATCAATTATCATTTTTCTTAAATAAGGAATCATATAAGGGCAATAAACCCCGGTTACAGCAGCGAAAACGAAACCATCGTGAAGATTTTGGCCAAAAAAATTTACATCTTTATCTGGTAAGGGTTCATCCCAAATAATTTTCTTACTTTTTGTGTAATGGTACTCTAACCAATTTATTAATAATAATTCTGCGTTACTAAAAATGTTTGCATTCCTTGTAAAATTTTTTACAGATTTTTTAAAATTTTCTAATGGTTCAATTACTGGCGAAATTAATGGGTCTGTTGTTGTAACCATTAAAATAGAATTTAATCTGTATAAATATAAAACTTTATATGTTTGTAAAAGTAAATCCAGCCAGGATTGTTTTGCTAAATGAGAAAACTCCTCATAATTTTTAATAGATTTCGATGTGCTTGCAACATTTTGTCCTAAAGTTGGCATAATATAAATTTTAAAAGCCAAAAACATGTCGTAAGTTAAAAGATGTTCGGGTTTTAAACAAATAAAATAACCTCCCAAACTTTTTATAAAACGTATCGCGTTATCATAAACAGTATACAAATACCAACATGTATCTTCTTCCGTTTTTGGGGCTTTCCCAAGCTCCAAATAGCTTACCATTTGAGGTCCAACCATATTAATTAATAATTTTACGTAAGGTGGTACTAAAAAATCTACTTTACGATCTTTTTTACTTCTAATTGCTATATTTTCGCTTTTTGAAATTGAAACCATAGTACAAATCGTTCCGGGTATTTGGTATCGAATTGTTTTATAAAAACACTGATTACAAACCCATTCTTCCATATGATCAACGCAACATTCCAAATATGATGTTAAGCTACTTGGTTCGGTTGGAAAAAATGGGTATGAACTAAAAAATTCCATCGTATGAAATTCTGCCGTTCCTATTCTGCCAAGATCTTTTCGCGAAATTGCTGACATTAATGATGGTCTTGCATATAAAACAGACTAAAAAAGGTTATTTGATTAGGTAAGCTAATTGACTAAAATTAGAACTAAAACTAGAAACTTTCAGGTTTTGCCGTGCGTCTTTTAAGACTCACAAAGTCTAATCTAATGATAAATGATAAAAGATACAAGAAAGGTAGCCCAAAGAAGTGTCATGTGAGAAAGAAGATTCCAACGATATTATAGTTAACAATGAATTGATACATTGTGAAAAGTGTTCAGTGTTATTCTTTGATAGCCAAAAAGGCAATAGAAATAACGCTCTATTTCAGAACATGTAAATGTAGCACGTCAGATTCTGGGAATAGTTATTAGTTATTTACCATTTTTTGCCACAAATAAGAATACAAAAAAAATAATAAGAACAAAAATATATACATAAAATCCCATTGTCGATTGTTGGTCGAGCAATGGATAAACTTGAACTTAAACAGTATAAGCAGTATTAGCAAATGGATCATTTTATCGCACAAGCGATCTCTGACAAATGACCCAACAGAACAAACAAAAATAATATTTAGGTCTAATATGAACCGGATGAAATTATTTTGTAGCCGCTGCAATTTACTCAGAAGAGTCACTGAGAGATCGGGATAAACCGCGTCCGCATAGTTGAAGTGGGGAAATATAAGTGAGTAGCAAAGATTACGACGGACCACCGGAGGAAGAGAGCAGCGAAGTTTTTTAAAGAGTGGAAGCTAGAATAAACTTTTCTGCAAACATGTTGAATTTGCGGTTTCCAAGACAGTGCAGAATCCATAAGGACTCCAAGATTTTTAACTGTGTCAAAAAACCGTATGACATTTCCATCCAGCATCAGATCACTGGAGGTAGATGGATTAATCTTACCAAGTAATTGACGAGTTCCAAACACAATAGCTTGGGTTTTAACTGAGTTCAACTTAAGTCCGTATCTCCGAAACCAGTTCAAGACCTTAGTTAGATCGTTATTAAGTTGCACAATAGCTTCCGAAAATTCAGAAACAGTTGTAGTACTATATATCTGGAGGTCGTCAGCATACAAATGATAATTACACAAGATATAATTAGTAACACTAATAACGAACAAAGAAAAAAGTAACGGACCCAATACACTGCCCTGAGGAACACCACATTTGATTGCACAAGCAGAAGAGATTGAAGAGTTAGCGCGTACGCACAAGGAGCGATGAGAAAGGTAAGATTGAAACCAAGAAACACAAGAGGGAGTGAATCCGTAGGTAGAAAGAGACGCCAAAAGAAGGTTGTGGTCGACAGAATCAAAAGCCTTGCTGAAATCGAGCAGTACTAGCACAGTAACACATCTGTTGTCGCAGGCATATCTAATATCATCAGTAACTTTAATGAGGGCAGTAGTTGTGCTATGGCCACTGCGAAAACCCGAATGCAACACATTGTGTAAATTAAACCTCTCTAGAAATCCTTGAACCTATAAATAAACTAAGCGTTCAAGATCTTTTGATAGTACGGATAAAATTGAAATAGATAAGTAGGAGGGCAGTAAAAAACACCGAGTAATAATTTATTATAATCAGTTTTCAGCTGTACGAGCAAAAACTCCGCATTCGGCAACGTTCCATCGGGGGTTTCTACGATGGTAGCATGCAAATTGTTTCAAATAAACAAGGCCACTCCCCCACCACGTGAGAACATATACTTTGAATACGTTGAATTAATATGATAATCTAATGTTCGTTGATGATGAGGTTTTTGGTTACAGATGACATATTTCTTAAACTACACCAGCACATGTTTGGCACTATTATTTGGAAAGGAACACAATGCAAGAAGCCATAGAAACACGAAGAATCAGAGAAAAGCCATAAGATCATTGCGATGTCCTAGAACCGTGTCGTTATCAACGGTTCAAAAAAGAAAGTGTGTAAGAAGTGAAAAAGAGAAAGGTTGAACTAAGGAACATTAAGGGAGATTAACGGGAAGAGCTGGAGGATAAGCAGGAGGAAGAAGAGTTGATAAAACTAAAATGGAGATGAGTGGAAGGGCTTACGGGGTAAATAACAGGTAATTTTAAATTCAATCACAAGAGTTGAAAAGGCATATCAGTGGAAAGGTTAGAGAAGTGATCAGATTATTGCTGCAAATGTAGGGTTGAGCGAAAATTCGCTTTTATATCATAACACCATATATTTTCCCATAAATAATCAAAAAGACCTGAAATGGCTAGACGCGTACAACGTCCAGAAGAACTGTTAAGACTTTTTCTTGCCGAACTTTAAAGTTCTTGATGTATAACCCCCAAGAATTTACAATCTGATGTGCTAGAGATGTTATATTACGGGCAACAATATGTTGAATACTCAAAGCAATTTTATTTTAGACGCAACAAATAAGGGGTGTAGTTTCAGAACTACCCATGTAATAACACATCATAAGAAACAAATTTTCGTCCAAGGGACGGTGAAATGTTCGCTTTCAATATTTTAGTTATTATCAACTAGACTGGTGATCTAATGATTCCGACGACATTCAGTTAAGTATCTTACAGGAAGAATTGTAAAATGGACAACGATTCGATGTTGAAAATTTCGGCATTTCACCGACATGCTATTTCGAGATTATTATATCAAGAATGACAGACTATACCATCATTAATTAAAAGCCAATTATTTACGATGATAAATGTTTTATTATATTAAAACAGAATAATTCGGTGCAACAATGTTTCAGCTGATAATCCAGCCTTTATCAAGCACGACTATAAGAAGTAGCGGAGAAAAAAAATTACAATTAGTAAAGAATATAACAATTAGTGGAAAATATTAGAATAATAAAAAATAACAAAATTATTACAAAATAACAAAATTATTACAATTATTAAAAGGTGGAAAGACGAGCCATTTTGTAAATTTTATTAAATTAACAAAGATATTTACCGTCAACGAGAGTGCCACAGATCAGTAGAGAACGTTATCGTATGGAACATTAGATGATTTCGGATTAATTTCACCACATTAGCTTTGGATAAAGTTTTAAAAAATTGAAGCGTGAGGCGCACGTGTTGGTTTTCAGATTATTAAAACTGTAAATTGAAGTAAAAATTAGAAGGAAATATATGAGGAATAATCTCTTTAGTCTTACCAATTATAATCGTAGAATACAAAACAAAAACGTAAAAGAAAAAAGAAAAAATCGACAAAAAGTAAAAAGTTAAATTTCAAATGTTAAAATGTTATTCTTGCGTGAAGCGCTAAGAAAGACTGAGGTGAAGACGGAGACTGAACCCGAATGTAAGAAAATGGAGGGGTGGGCAACGTGAAAAGTAATATATATAAAAAATATGAATTTAAATAAATTTAATAAATTGTCTGTAATTGTTTATCTCTGTATTGTCATTCATGATCAAATCTCCGTCCCACAGTCTTCCATCGTAAATGTAGTATTCCTCATATAGGTCCATCTCTCTGGATTTTTTGAGATTTTTTAAAAGTTTTACATTTTGAAAAGTAATTTTATGACTGTGTGTAGAAATATGTTTAAAAACCATCATTGTTTACACACTTAGGATTAAAATAGATACATCTAATCCATTAAAGTTTTAGCATAAAAGGATTTTGATTATCAACCATCTAGAATATAGTATCATGCCAAAAGTACAAAACCGCATAATAACAAATCGCTAGAAAGATGCAATCGTATTCCTGTGATGTGGTCAGTACTAATCTAATTAGACCGTTAACCAGATCTAAAAGGTGAAATAGCTACATTGTAATTACTTATTATGTTCATTCATGTATTACTTACAAATTCTAGATAGATCCGGTGACCTTTCTTATTAATATTATAATATTACAGTGACTTTAGCAGTGAGTAGTAGATAATTAACGTGTTTGCCGCGGAAAAGCGCAGATGAACAAATTGTCAATACTTAATTTTTTCCCTACGAAAGTGAATTTGAATATGCAAATGATGTTGAATGTATTACAATTATATTTTGCGTATTTCAGGAGTAGTGATAATGACCTGTAAACACTTATTCGATCTCTTGAAAACTTGTAGCAAGTTGTAAGCCAAATTTGGAACAAAAACTAAATTGTTTCCAACTTTTGTCGCGTGAAGATTTCCATGATGATCAATACAAAAAACTTCAATGCAGTTTCGCAAATTTCAAATCCGAAATGAAATCAAGTTAAATCAAAGCCCATAAAAATGAAAACGCTTTTCTCAAAAACCTGATATTCATAAATATTGAAAATTTGA